ATGTGGAGACAAGGTTGAATAGAAAGAATCAAAATTATGACAACAATGATTCATGTGAAGTAGATGCAGCTGATTACTTCACAAGTATTGGTTGTCCTTTAAGGGGGAAGAAAAATGGGGAACCATTTACTTTGGACTTTTAATCGATACATCTTATTCAATTATGAAGAAGTTCAAATCTATATCTGGTGCGAGAAATTCTCATTTTCCATCTATTGATTATCTCTAAATTATTTCATTTTATTCTTATACTAATAAATAACATTGTTGTCATTATAGAGAGCATGATGATAGTATTAATAGTCACACTAAAAAATGGAAGTGGGCTAGGGCAAAAGTGCAGAGTCAAGATTTTAGTGAATGGTTTAGAAATTGGGCCATGAAAAATGATGTGCCATTTCAGCTTAAAGAATTGTCAAAAGGACTAAATTCTATTGTAAAGAGGTTTTCAGGCTGCCTCAAAGCATGTTGTTTATGCTATTTTTTTTTATGTTATTAATGTTCCAAATGGTGTATCTAGTTGTTTTTTATGGTTGTTGATTCTGAATACTAATTATGGTATTTATGCTATTTTGGACCATTGTTTCTATTATTTTTTTGCTACTATTTTTCGGTTGATGTTGCATTTTATTATTGAATTTAAATATATATTTTTTCTATGCAATGTAATGCAAAATATAAGCCAGAAAAATTTTATCAATAGAGCATAGCAGAAATACATTCACCGCATGGGTCCTACAAACTTTGCAAGGATTTGTGCAAAATTGGTATTATATTTATGTTTATATGTGTAAAACAAGAAATTCTCGTACCTAGTGTACATTTCTTATTATTCAATCTCCAATTTATGTAGCAAGAAAAGAAGAATGGAGAGGATGTTTGTCAAGCTGAAATGTTCATTGAGACTCATCAAAGTTGAAAAGGAAAAGAGATTGACAAAGATACTCAGATTGTGATTGTAAGTCTACTATTCAATACCATTTTTTTAAAGTAGTCTTGATTGTATTTTAACTATAATGTTTATTTTCTTATAAATTAGACAGAGATGAGTTGGGGAAGGATGTATCTTTGGCTTTGCTTTTACCTCTAGAATCTACGATATTGAATCTCTCTCAACTCTTAGATTCATTCTTACTTTTATGTATTCTTGCTTTTTTAGAGTTAATTATATCATGATCATATGTGAGTAATCCCCTTTATTCTAGGATCAAGGCTTAGCCCTTGAGAACCATTTTTATTTAATCTGATCATTAATAGTTTATTTTATTTATTCTCTTGATATACTTTTTAGTAATTTATATATGTAAAGCATTGAAAATCATTTTTCATAATTATAGAAATTTAGGAAATAGCTGAAAGGTGAACCTAATTTTTGGAACCCTAAAAATTAGACTTAGATTTTAAATCACAAAAGTAAATTTAATCCTTCAAGGACTAATTAGATTAACAAGGTGTGTAATGAATTTATTTGAGCAAAGCTACCACAATAGTGGGGGTTAATTCAATTAAATACTTCTATGTATCTTGAAAGAGGACAAAGACAATCCAATCCTCAAGTACTCAAGTAGTGAATCTGCTGAACAAGCTTTTCAATCAATCTTTGGCAAAGAAAAACCCGATAGAGCTCGATGTCTAAGAAGAATGATCAAACAAAGTATGTTAAAGAAAAATGAAGAAATTGTTGCTTTAAAGAAACAACATTCTGTTGAGATAGGTCCAATTGCTAAGACAGTTCTAGGACTACAATGTCTTATAAGATGCTTGCTAAAGGAAATCAATCTAGAATTGGATGACCAAGCTTTGGATAGTATAATGGGGAATTCTATAAGCAATGAGAATAGTGTAGCACCTCCTTCTACTAAAGTTTACTTAATAGTAACTTCATTTTTTTTATTTCAATAAATAATTGTAACTCCATAAAAAAGAGAATCGGATTAATTTTCTTACGTAGAAAATCGGATTTATTGTAACTTGATCATAATAAAGGTATAATTTATGCCTTTGTTAGGTTCTAAATTATATTTTAATTCATTTCATTTGCATATACCAAATCGGTTATGAAAGTTTTCTTATGTATAACTAGCCTTAACTTATGTTAATTGTTGGAGATTGATTGGGGATTAATTCTATAAGTTTTCTAAGTGAAAAAATATATATTTATGTGCAGGAAAGATATGATGATAAAGATCAACCTTATGATGATGAAGAGACTAATGATGTTACTTACATGGATGGATGACTAGCTATGCATAATATTCCTATATGACACTTTATTTTGAAATTTACAAATTTTATGTAACTTTGACATCTTTGGATGATTTTATTTGGATTTTTATGCTTTTAAATTGTCATATACTTGGAACTAATTAAGGTAAGTGAATTCTACATGTGTTTGGATTTTTTTTTATAATTTTTTTTATTATTTTCTGATGGAGAAATCAATTGTTTATTGATCACATGAGAAACATCCTCTTGAAAAAGAGGATGTACAAGAGGATTATCAATTCAAAATAATGAATAGTACTTCTTATTAATATGAGTTGTTTAATATACTATTTGTATTATAATTATAGGTACATATTACATATATATGATTTCACAAGTTAAAGTAAAATTTAATATATATATATATATATATATATATATATATATTATAACCATTTAATAATAGTATATGGTGAAGATTATTGTTTAAATAATGATGTGTTATTGCCAATATTATAAGTCAATATAAAAATAACTTGCACGTTTATTTAGACAACATTTACAAAATTATAGCTTAAATTTAGTCTAAACCGTTGCCTATATTATCTCATAGATAACCTTTAAAAAATGTTCCCTAATGTCACTAACAATGGTCGTCAAAGTGTTGTCTATAAAAATTGACTACATTTCTAAAACTGTTCTTTAAAAATTTATAGTTTTGCCTTAAATAAAGAATTAAAAAAATCGTTGCTAATGAAGATCGTGAAAACAATTCCTGAAAGTTTAGGCAACAGTTATTTGACATCGTGAGCACAAGCCAAAAAATCATTGCATATTGGAATAGGTAACGACTAATAATTCCATGCTTGAGAAACCGTTGCCTACACTTTCAGGAACGGTTTTTTTTTACTTTCAACAATGATTTTTTATTGTTATATAATTGTTTCTTCCACGTACACATATTTTTATTATTATTTGGCTAGTATGGCCTCAAACTCTCGTTTCTAAGCTAATATCGTTATTTTCATGTGTCTTTCCGAACCTGCAAGCTATTTTTTCATTCTCAAAATCATATTTCAAAATAGGACTTTTTGAGTAGATTAAAATACAACACAATAAAATAAATAAGATGAAAATAGAAACTAATACAAGTAAAATTAAAAATTCTAATAAGTTTTAAACCCTTTTTTGTTGATATTATTGGAACTTAGTCCCCAACAACAACACTTGTTGCATCTAAAATGCGCTTAAGGCAACATTACCTTACCATAGTAGTAACAATGGATAAAGTTTAAATATCAAACCCAAAAGACTATATTCAAGTAATTATCAACTTAATTGTGGCTTTTAGCAATTTGAAAAACATAAATCGACTGAGAGTATTAATTTATAAATTGCAAACAAGACTAGAAAGTTGTTATTAAAATTTAGATATTAAAGCCCTAAAGTAGTGACTTATTGGTTCCTAATCCCCTCAAGATAAAATTCATGAATTAATTAGTAATGTTGCCAATTATACTTATGAAACTATTAACCACCCTATGGTTTAGGAAGCTAACAATCTTTATCTTAAGAAAAATCCAAATTGATTGGAAGATTTTTATTATAAAAATAAAGCATTTGCACGCAAAAATGAATTAATAATTTAATTTAATTAGAAATTATGAAAATAGTTTGATCATGTCAACTTTACAATAATTCAATTATTTTAAGATTCCCTTAATCAAAAGAGTTTGACCATGCAACTTTTAGTTAACTAAAATAAGAATTAAAAACATTAAATAATAAAAAATTTAAACAAGAGAAATTCATAAATTCATCATTGGGAGTTCTCAAGGAACAATTACATCACAACCCTAAAATGAGAGAACTAGCCACACATGCTGCTAGAACCCATTAAACAAAGAAAAGAATTAACCTTAGTTGAAAGAATCCTTCTTCACACATGTTGTTAGAACCCATGAGAGTATGAATGTCCACTTGGTGTATTTTACACCTTACCAAAGGCTACAAAAATCCATATGATCACATGTTTTACACACTAGTCACACCTTTCACACTTGTCACATGGAAAACTCTTGAGCTTTTTTAGATGTAACCACATGGCACATTGCACATGCACATGACACATCCACTTGGTGGAGAATGACACATAAATTTGAATTTTGAATCCAATTTTGGCATGCCTATTTAAAAAGTTAAGCAACCTTGGTTCGTTTATTTAACCATGGTTTGCTTAGCTTGCATCATAAGCTATGCCAGTCTATACATAGGATTTTTCTCCATTGTACACGTCATTTTTGAGCATTTGAGTGAAATCATTGTGATTCTCCTTCAAAAATCTTGAGTTCTCTCTAGAGGATTATTTAGAGTTCTTTCATCAAAAAACCCATTTTTTGGCAAGAACCTCACTTCTTGGCTCATCTCTCTCCACTTGAAAAGTGGCACCACCTTCCACCTCCATTGCCTTCTATTTGAAGTTTTCTTTCAAGTTTTGGATCCATGGATGAAGATTGAAGGGAGTAGAAGTCAAGTGACACAAATCATTTTCCATGCTAAAGCTTGATTCCATCAACTTCATTCTTATACCCCGTATATATACCACATGTCCTCCTCAATTAAAATATACCTCTAGTATATATTGATTGTCATAGGTAATCTATTTTGTAACAATCTTCATATAAATATTGTAAGTTTCAAGCGAACTACCTTATTTCACAATTTCACCCAATTTACATCTATATTAGATAATTTTCTTGAGCACAATTGATCAATTAGGGTCTTGTATGTCGAACTAACAATATAAATACCATATGGCAAAGAACATATAAAAACTCATGTAATGTATTGGTCCATACAAGTACAAACTTTAACTAGTTTTGTTAAGTACATATTCACACACTAAAATCTTAATAATCAAAATCCAAACTTACATAATGCAATTGTACAAAACAAACATCCATCATGATCTCAAAGCCAATGCACTACAATCAATCCTTATTAACTTCTTACAAAATTCATTGATATCAATGTAACTGCTCTGGTTGTGTTTTCTCCTTTACACTCAAGAATGGTTTGAACATCAACAATACTCCAACCCCTTCAACAAAATTTAGGGCAAGGAAGACTACATGGGTGCCTGCAATTAAATGTAAAAGAGTGAGCCTCCAACAATATCAGCAAAAGATAACATGCTCCTATTGGGATTGAAATCCATCATCCTACTTATTTATTGTAACATCACAACCATCCTATTCATTTCCACTAAAAAAAAATTAATCACTTCTGAAAAAGATGTGACTAGTGTTTAGACTCTTCATTCTAAAGTTGCATTTTCATTCTTTAGTCCTTATCTAGAGAAAAAACTATTTGTTGTGAAATAATTGACTTATTATGCTCTTTCCCAATAAAGAACAATAAATAAACAAAAGGTAACACTTAGATTAAGAATTTTTTTTTATTCAATATATGAAATGGAAACCAACATACCTGGTAGGAAAGAATCATTTATATTCTTTTCTGTCCAAGATAATCTACATTGAACAAGAGAAAAATTAATAATTTGAATACACTTTTATTAATCTCATAGTGGGAAAGTGTTGTTGATCCATTCTATGTGGCATACTCTCAAAATATTTCATTAATGAAACATTTGCTAATTGCAATCATATTATAAAGTACAAAGGTTATCCTTAGTTAACTTTTCCTATAGAAAATGGGGCTCAAAGTATAAGTATATATATTAAAATGAAATAGGCCACATGCATAAGCTAGTTTACTAGTAGTTTGGTTTGAAAGAAATAAAATAAAATGATGTCAATCCATTTAAGGTTTTTATAGTATATCCTTATCCTCAGAAAAAAAAAATCCTATATAAGAATATTTTCATTTGAAAATGTCTTTATGAATAGTGAAATAAAAAGTTGCAAGAATGTGACAGCTCATATAACACCCATTTCTTAATTAATTACTTATATACTATTAATGGTTATCAATATTCAACATTAAATATGCATATAAGTTTATCCTGAATGTTGAAGGAATAAACTTACATGTCTAATTTTTTTAAAAGATGTCAACCATTACTTATTTTTAAGTCTTTAAATTTTTAAAAAATGTGCATAAAATAACCATGCCTAAATTATTGACCACTAACAAGTCTGAAAATTTAAATTTTGGAAATCTTAAATACATGGAAGAAAAAACCATATTATATATGAACATTGTTAAACTCACAAAATGTAGTATATTAACATGTTATTAAATGTTGTTTTGTCTTGTTTTATGATTAAGTTTTGGGTAAAACTTCACTTTTTTTGAAGTGTACAACAAATAGGGAAATACTTAAAAAGATAAAATTAATGCAATCAAGAAACAAGTCTGAGTAAATATGAATGTTGTAGTCATGCATAATGTGCTTGCCTTAAGCATAACAACATATCAAGAGGAAGCACACTCTAATTAAATGATGCACACCTATGCTATAAAATACGATCGTGCTTGCCAACATACATGGTCATGCTTCCCCATAAAGCACCCCTAGTTGAGAAAACACATCCTTGTTACTGATGAAGCAAATCTATGTTATTAAGAACGACCATACTTTTCTATATGCATGATCATGCTTCCTCTTGGAGCACTCTTTATATAAAGAAGCGAGCCTTTAATGATGAGGAAGCATGCCCTTCGTTACCAAGCAAAATCATGCTTACTAAGATGCATGATTGTGCTTGAAAGTTCCTTCTAGTTTTTGTTATAAGTAAGGATGTCCAAATCATGTTTTTATAATCTAGTTTTTAGTTTTATTCTTTATATTAATTTTTTTTTGTCTTCTATTCTTTTTTAAGGTTTTGTAAGACAATAAAGGCTAAACCTTCCCCTTTTGATTATTTCTCTTCTTTAGTTTTATCTATTAAAGTACTATGATGGGTTCTTCACCTATCATGTATGGCTAGTTTTCCTATTATAGGGTTGTGATATAATTGTTTCTTGTAAACTCCCAATAATAAATTGCATTAATTGTTTTTGTTTCTTGTCATATTATTTTAGTAATTCATGTTCTCATCTCTTTTAATTAAAATTGCCTGATCAAACTCTTTTGGTTAATAGAACCATCAAATTATTGAATTTAAAAAACTTATTTGATTAAACTTATTTTTTAATTCTTAATTGAATTATTTAATTTATTAATTCATTTTTGTGTTTTTATCTTTTGTTTCACAATCAATTTTGGGTTTTTCTAAGGCAAAAACCGATGACTTCCTAAATAAAGGATTGTTAATAATTTTATAAGTAAATTGGTTTTAGAATTTGTGAAATGCATCTTAGGGGAATCCGAGATAATAAGTCACAACGCTAGGATTTTTTATCTCTAAATCTCAAACATCTATTGTCTTTGTTTAAGTCTTAATTTTTTATCTTATGTTTCATACTCTCAAATCATATTTCTATTCTTTCAAATTGCTAAAATTCACAATTAAGTTGATAATTACTTGAATCTAGTCCTTTAAATTTTATATTTGAATTCTGATTAATATTACTACTACTGTAAAGTAGCTTTCCTTTTAAAGAACATTTTATACAACAAACTTAAAATGAATTTTCATATATATATATATGCGTGTGTATTTGTTTGTGTGAGAGAGAGAGGGGGGGAAAGAGAATTAAAGATGTAAAATCATCGATATAACTATAACCATGTACAATGCATGAATTTCAATTGCTAGAGAGTCAAATGGACACTTACAATGCACCGGCACTAGCAGGACCAATTGTTTTGAATGCTGACATACCAGTCATAGCAATGCTATTAGCTGTCCCTCTTTGATGTTGTTCCTGATTTCAACATTAACGTGCCACACATGCCACAACTCTAAGAAATGATATCAACTTTTCAAAATAAATGAAAGCTAATAAAAGGATCCAAAAGTTTACCACGGCTTTATTCTGAAGAATGAATAAACTAGTTGCAATTGTCTCCTAAGTCCAACAAGGATAATACAAATTAAGGAAATTCACAATGAAAATAACAATTTTGGTAAATGAAAGTGATTTCTTGATGTTCAATGAAGCAAATTCAATTCACTTGCAAACTCAATATCAATGTTGATTAACCATGTAGATAGAGTTGAACTTACAATCATAAGATTCTTTAGAATGGAAGCGATATTAATCACTAGGTCTAGTGTGAAGCCTGACAACATTGTCATGAATGGGTAACATTGCAAAAGAGGTATGGATAACACCTACATATATCATGCCAAACAACAATATTTATTTGAAATAAAAAAATAAAATGTTAAATCAAAGTAATTTTCACATAAGGTGGAAGCTTACCCCTGTTATACGAACTAGTGTAATAGGTCCATAAGCTTTTTGCACTGATCGATATAAGGTAAGTTGGTAGATTAGAATAGCAACACCTAATTAGTTGAAAAAAAGTTAGTAATGCAGCAATATATTATTCAGTGATGCACAAGGAATACATTGCACATCAATGTTTCTGTACAAATGTAAAGGAAAAAAATTAAAACAATTCAAAAGTTAATAGTAACAAATCCTATCTAAATAATATATTATTGACCTTATAACTAATTAAACCAGGAACCTACTAGGAGGTTTCATATCATGTGAGTAATGTCTTATATGACTAATTAAAGTTCACAAAAAAAAATGTTTGGGACTTGGGAGTAAGATACCATGTGGACATTCTCGCTAATTCACAAAAAATAACGTGTAAATGCAATCCTTGGAGATAGAAGGTTACAAAGGAAATATGTTTTTTCCCAAAAAATTTATTTATATATATAGTTTATATAAAGAAAAAAAAATTAAAAAAAAAAAAAAAAAAAAAAAAAGTACCTGATATTGCAAGAACAATACCAACACCATCAGTTGTAAAGTTAAGACCACCTAACCTTCGAGGACTAAGAGCCCACAATGAGAAAACCTATAATAGTAAATGGATAATAGATTAGTATAAAAAAGAGAAGAAGAACAACAAATCTATTAAGTAGGAATACTACCTCCTGGTAAGCAACATCATGTAGTGAAAAGATACAGTAAATAATAATAGATGACATTAAAGGCCAATTTTGAAATATGCTTTTATGATTTTGGATTTTCTTTTCTTCATTTGACTCACTGCTTCCAATTTCCATAGCTTTCACATCGTTAGTTGACTCAATGTGACCATTATGGTTGTGAAGGGTTTCCTGCAATGATGCAATTCAACAATACAAAGCTAGTTTAGTTTCTAAGGGATTTTTTGAATGGTATGGTATGTATTATGAAGAAATATATATATATATATATATATATATATATATATATATATATATAGAGAGAGAGAG